GTTCGGGTCCAGTTCAAATGTTTCTGCCGGTTCGGATATCTACCTGAGTTCTGGGACTTGATGAGAACTTGTGAAGTTGAGTTGCCGGCGGCTGGGATGCGACACCGAGGCCGAGGACCCGAACAGCGGTTCTATATGGCGGCGGAACCGCGGGCGGGGTGGGGGCGGGGCCGGTCCGTGGGCTCGGTTCTGAATCGTTGGGAGCCGCTGACGGATCCCTCATTTGTGCATGTTTGTCTGTCACTGACTGGACCGTTTTAGAAGCTGCTGTCAAAGATCCAAACGCTGCAAACGGAGAAAGAAAAACGTAAAATAAGAAATTTGTGATTTTTAAAATGATCTTAAAATGATGAATAAAATAAATCTTTCAAAATAAACCATGTGGATGAAACTACTAATGACAATAAGTGGAATTATTATTTCTTGCTCAGAATATTATCCCAGGTGAATCAGTGAGGCTTGCTGCTGCAGTGACGTCACTAACAGGATGGATGATGAAACAGAAAACCTCTGATATGTCTGCGTGCTTTCAGCCAGCTGGCCTCCAGTGTCGGGGCGCAGCTGAGTATTTTCTGAGGTGTATGCAGACACACGGTAGTCGGTTCCAACACAAACAGCTGTTCGACAGAATAATAATTATTTGATTACAAACTCAATAAAAACTTTCTTTTCGGAACCAAGAAAACCCAACAGTATAAAATAATTAAGTTTGTCAGGAGTGTAAACACTACACTACCCATAATTCAATGCTCCCCGGCGCTCTGGCGGCGACTGGGTTGATCAGAACCTAAAGCTTCGGGTTAAACTGGGATCAGAACCAGAATCCAGGTGGGCCGGTTCTGATCCCGACCCAGATGAGGGGCAGCGCGGTTCCGATCCTGATAAATATAACAGTCCTTCACCCTTCCCCCAAATTTCCCACTAAATATAAACCTTCTCCTTATCAGGGATGGAAAGCTGACTCCTCTCGTGGAGGGGTCAGGGTGAGGTTCTGTCCACTCTGCAGCCCTGCATGCTGGGGAGGTTCGGTGGGTGTGGAGTGGGTCCAATCGGGTCACATCCAACCAAACATACCCCCCACCCTGATTGGTCCCTTCAGGAATCATACATCTGAGCTGCAGGTTCGGGTTGCTCTCAGGTTCGGGGTTGTCGGTTCGTGTCCCACGTCCTCACTGTCCTCATGTGTCCCCGGTTCCGTCCAGCCTGTCAGCAGAGCGACCCGCGGCTTAAAGCGGGTCAGTCGGTACCGCTTCCATAAACACTGAATTGTTTCCAGAAATCTGAATAAATCGGATTATTTTCCAGATTTTGTCACATAGTTTTATGTTTTTATCTTTTCTGGTCCAGAACCGAACCCACTTCACTGCGGGTCTGTGGAGTTTGCTGATGGCGCCACCTTCTGGCCGGGAAACAAACTGAGACTGACTTGAGTTTTTTTTGTCTCCAGATTTTATTTCAGTGTTTGTAGTGAGACAGCAGAGGGAGGAGACGTCTGCAGGGGGCGGGCCACGTTCTCCATAATCAATAATCACCAATCAATTCCCCGATATGGTCATCAACTCATCACTGATGTCAAACTGGCAACGTTTTATAAATTCAAATCAATCCAAAATCTACATCTGAAAGATTAGAAAACAAGAGGAAAAAATATAAAATTAAAAAATAAAGGAATAATTACAATTATTTTAGTTTAAATGTGAATTATTAAAATCACATTAATGATAAAATATTGTCAAAGAAAATCCTGAAAATCAATATACCTAAATATAATTTTAATTTGTTTTAAGTTTATAAAGCAAAGCTCAAATGGTGCATTAATGTATCTGAAATTTCTATTATCAATTAAAATCCAACAATGTGAACTTCAAGGCTCCGCCCCCAGCCAAACGTCTCCTCCAATCACATTATTCGCAGAAGAAAAGGATTCGTTTCCATGTAAACAGCCACTTGTGTACAAATAAAAAGCAAACAGAAACAAAGTTTAGATAGAAAACAACTGAAACATCAAACTGAAGAGATTTCTGTACATTTCATAAAGTCATAAATTCATTTTTATAATTTCTCTCTGTTTCATCGTCTTAAACTTTCTGAGTTTTACAAATAAAAGACACCAAATTAAAGTTTTCTCCTTGAGGTGGCGCTGCTCTCCCTCCGTTCATACATAAAATAGAATCTCCGATAGTTTTTTATTTACACACTTCAGATATTTACAGGGTTTATTTTTTTAGTTTTCAGACCAGCGACACGGCGGACGGAGGAGACCGACCGCCGTGTCAAAGCTCTGGATCCCGGAACGATTCTGGGCCAAAGCAGTGATCGATCTTTGGACCAGAACTGGACTGGGATCCATGACGTTTCGCGCCTGAGACCCAGAAAGTGGTCCTGAGAGAGCCGTGGGCTGACTGGTGATCATCGACCTGAACTGGGCTTTTGGACCGCCATAAAAACGCTTCAACCAGACCAGAATGAGAACCTCATCTCAGTAGGAAACCGTCCTGATGGTTCCTGAAGACAGAAGCTTTTATTTTGGAAGTTTACATTTAGATTCATGATGCTGATACGATCTGTCTCCTTTTATTTCTTTTCTGTTGCATGTCAGATAAGATTTGTGTTTTTGTTACTTCTGGTCAAATTTTAGTTCAAACTCTGAATTTGGAACCATTTAGGGATTTCAGGTGACGGTTGCTGTTAAAGAAATTTACAATATTTGGTTTCAAACCAGCCCTGGAACTTGGGATCAAGCTTTTCCTAGAAAGTTGGAATTTCAGCAGTTTTTCTTGGACTAAATTCCTGGCTCTGTGTTGGATAAAAGGTCCAGTCAAATCATTTTTGTTCTGTCCAGAGTCAACTGATATCAGTTCATGGTTCTGGAATCTGTTCCAGTTTAAGCTTTTATTCTAATTCAGTTATGGCAGTAAAACCCAGGTTCACTCATTCATACTTTTCATACCTTCCTGTAAACATAAATTATTGAGCCAGAAGTGCTGGCCAGTGATACCACTAATGTTCCAGAACCTTACTGGTTCCCAGTCAGTGGAGCCGATTGAGAAGTTTCTGAACAGGAACGGCCTGAAACTGGATGATATGGTACAGATGGAGAATAAAAAAGATCTCACTGCCCACCAGAGCTGAGAACGGCAAGTATTTATTTATTCCAACCAACCAACCAACCAACCAACCAACCAACCAACCAACCAACCAACCAACCAACCAACCAACCAATTAACCAACCAACCAACCAATTAACCAAACAGCAGTCCAACTATCATTCATTCGTCCGTCCGTCAGCTCTGGTGGTGATCAAAACAACAACAACTCTTTAGATTTCTATAACTGGAGTAAATATGGCAGCAGCGTGATGAGCTGTACAAACACAGAACCAAGCGATCCAAACACAACTGGACTGAACTGAACAGAACTCTACTGAAGAAGGAGTAAACAGAACCTCTGTGTGTCTCTGAGCCCTGAGGTTTGACAAAAAGTGCTTCGACCAGCCGGCGCCGCTTCCAGCCGCCTCGGTTTATTGCCTCAGACCCGTCAGAACTGACCAATAGGAAGCCGGCTCTGGGCGGGGGTAGGCGGGTCCTTTGTAGAGCCGGCTGGTCGTTCAGGTGTGTCAGCAGGTAGAGAGAAAGAATTTGCTCAATTCTGAGGAGTGATGTCATCCCATCAACACGACTGGTTGACTAAAGGTCCGACCAATCACATTAAAGAGTCACGCTCTCTTAAAGGACCATTCCTTATTTTTTTCTCCAGATGTAACCAATCAGGCGGAGGTGTATGAAGTTTATATATTCTGATCTGAAACCCAGAGGTAAACAACAGACTGGTCCTTTAAGAGGAGCCTGATCTGGACCATGTGACCCTCAAACACTGTGAGATGTTCAGGGACCATCATCATTGTCTGGAAACAAAAGGCTGTAGAGTCTTCAGACGTTGTTCGGTAGAAAACCAGCATCTACTCTCTCTGATCCAATCAGGTGAGTTGTTGCTCCGTCGGCGTCCACGAGTCCGACCGTCAGTGAATGCATCGTCACCTGCCTGGAGTGTGAGTGAAATATGGCAGCAGGTATAAAGCCCGGGTCGGCCCCAACATCAGGACCAACCCGAGTCTTTTGTTAAAAATATGAAATCCGTCTCAACGCGAAACAAAATGATGGCTGTTTTCCTCCTTGCTTTGAACATTTACAGATCAGTTCTGGACAGAGAACAGCTGCCGGTCTCTGTTCGCGGTTTGGGTCAGACGATCACTCTGCAGCAGCCCCAAAAGTCACAGTACCATCAGCCCTCTGTGGGGGGCGCTGTCCTGCTGCAATAGCTCTTTATTTGTGACCTGTTTGGTCCATGAAGTCAGTGAAAATAGAACCTGAAGTCTGGAAAACCACAACACATTAAATCTCGCAGCCTGACTCCGGCTGAAGGAAGCTGATTGGACGATGCCTGCCATTTATCTGCATTCTGATTGGTCCATGCGTCAGGGGTTGGGTCATCAGTTGCTAACACACAGCAATAAAACTTCTTAATTTTTTTCTCCAAATATTGTTTCAGGAGAAACATTAAAGCTCAAGGTCTGCTCTTTAATGCACCTTCTGAATTTAAAGGAACAGTATTTGACACCTACTGCTGGTAGTGAAAGATAAACATTTGCTTGATGCTTCACTTTTATATAATTTCTTGCTATATTGTATAGCTGGATCATGGCTGTTCTCCCGTTTGTCTTTATTACTTGAGATTTTTCTCTTTATGAATTTCCAAAGTTTTATCATTTTGTAAAGAGATCAAATTGGAACTAAACTGCTTTAATAATTAGAATAAACTTTACTATCATGACACTGATGTAATGGTGGTAATTTTGTTTATTTAGTTAAATTCTGCATATTTTCAGAAAATTTTAATAAAATCTTTAGAGGGTACAGATAAAAAAGAAATGTGTATGTGTATATATATATATATATATATATATATATATATATACACATACACATTTCTTTGTATCTCTTAAAGCCATTTTATGCCTTTTTATAACATAAAGATGATTCTCTGGGAGTGCGTCAGGGTGGCAACCATTTTCCAGAAGGGGTCCATTGCCCCACTGAGCCCCCCTCAGAAGCGTCACTGATTTTCTGCTACTGCAGCTGAAAATACGCAGAATTTGAGGTAAATATGAATAAATATGTGATTCCACTAGGTAAACTGGATTGTGGAGGAGCCATAACTCCACTTGTGTTCCAGCTGTGTGTTAGAAACCAATGCTTAGGTTTCGGGTCGGTTCTGGTTCTACAGAATCCTGCAGAGACGACCAGAAACAGACGAATGAAACCAGAGTTCTGGGTCTCCAGGTTTGGAGGTGTGGCAGAATGTTTTATATTATATGATGAAGAGGAGCAGGTGTAAATCTAACGTCCGGGTCGTGAACCTCCTCCTCTTCCTAGCCGCTCCTTCGTCCCTCTACGTGTCTTTGGGCTCCAGCTTGCAGGACATGTCGAACAGCAGGTTCTGGTTGTCGATCACCTGCAGCTGACGGACGTAGGCCTTCGTCTGCAGGTGGGAGGGGGACGTCTCTGTATCTATGGCTACCAGGAAACACATCACAACATCAGCGAGCAGTCGCAGCTGCAGTGACAGAAACCTGCCAGCAGGTGGAGACAGACAGGACGATGGGGAAGAGTTTGGACTCACCCAGCTGGGAGCTGCGGTACCGTCTGATGGTTCTCACCATTTCAGCCACTTTATGCTGCAGAAAAACAATAAAGATGAGATTAGTGAGGCTCTACGAGTCATAGATTAAATCTTAACAAGTATTTTTGTGTAGTTTTTTCTGCAAATATCTTTGTCAACTTGAAATAAAACAAAACTAATTTAGAAACAACCTTTCAATAAGAATCAACAATTCCTTGTCATTGATGAAAATGTTCTATTCCATTAGCATATTCATTCATGGGAATGAAATGAAATGTCTTGTTAGAAGGGAATTTATCTGCCGATTGAAATAGAACTTCTCCATCAACATTAAGAAATTATTGACTTAAAACAAGCGGCTCGCTCTTGCTGAAAAGGTACTTGTAAGTTCGTTTTAATTATTTCAAAGGTACTAAAACATTTTCACTACAAAACAAAAGCACTTAGTAAGAATTTGTGTTTTTGCAGTGGGACCAAAAAAGTAAAAGTAAAAAAACTAAAACCAAACAAGCCAGTTTCTTTCTTGATAGGAAAAGGATTTTTTTTATCCTATAACTAAAACTATAAAATTATTTTTCATGTTTGTTATATGCAAAGAAAGACAGTTAAGACAGTCAAATTGTCTTTGGCTCGATTTAACAAATCTTTTCTCAGCCGGATTCAATAATTAAATGAGAGCTGGTTTGGTGCTGCAAAGTTTTCGGTAAAAGTCTGAATAAACTTTCTACTTTTTAAAAAAGCTAACTTGTAAACAATTTTTTTTATTTGTTTCACTGAACATTTTCCACTACAAAATAATAATTTTACCTTGATTAAAAATTTAAAGTTTGAGTAAACTGCAGTTGGGGCCCGAAAGAAATCAATCCAAGGGCCACAAATGGCCCCTGTGCCGCTCTTTGAACATCCGGATCTCAATCTTTTCAGTTCATTTACGCCTCTCGAGTTTCATCACCAAACGTCTGCAGTTTTCAGTATTTTTTTCTCATGCAGTGATTGTCACTTTTAAGCTTTTCAGCTGATAAAAATTGCTAAGGTAACCTAATTTATTCACCGGTAGAAATAATTAAAACATCTGAACATTATGTCTTAATTGAACAACAAACTCACCATCTTCTCAAAGTTGACAAGTTCTCCGTGGAACGTTTTGCAACTTTCGTGAAGAAACGTCAAATCTGCAAACAACACGAATCAGAACAGTCAAGAATCTCAATGATGGAGAAAAACGGATTCATCAGATGTGTCCTTTGTGACAAATGATCAAGAATTCACTAAATGAATGGCATTTTATGTTTATTAAAGGAATTAAATTGTTTGTTAAAGTATTTATAATATTCTATAAAAAAGCTTAAGAAATCACTTAAAAATCTGCAGAAAGTGCTCATTTTTTAATCTGATTAATCAATAGAATAATCAATCACTACAATAATCAATAGAATAATCAATCACTACAATATTCAATAGAATAATCAATCAGCACAAGAATCAATAGAATAATCAATCACTACAATAATCATTAGTGTTTTTCACTTTTCCCCCACCGGGGGCGCCAGATCACAATTCAAAAATAACAGTTTTCATCTTTTTTTTCCTTTAACCTACTTCCTGTTCTCTGACTGTGTTGCCATGGAGACGGACAGTCCTCTCTAATAATGAACAGTTATTTTTCTGAGATTTACTAAAAACATAAAACCCAGGGGAACGCTGACTGTTGGAAATCATAAAAAACAGATTTGGTTTGAAAAATGTCAGGTCATAAAATGTGAACCGGACTGAAGAATTGCTAAAAATCTGTTGGAAAAAAAATCAGATTTTTTGACTTTTCAAACTCACTTTTTGTTTGTTTGTTTTCTTGGGAAACTTCCCCAAAAAAAAATTTGTTGGAAATTTACTGCATGTTCCAGATAAAGACAGCAGAACTTTTCCATCTTTATGATTTAATTAAGATTTTAAAATATTGGTCAACTTAAAAAAAAAAAAGGTTGGTGCAAAGAAAGAAATGAAAAAAACAACAAAACAAAAGAATAGTTAAAAACCAGTGAACCCAGTTTTCTGAGTTCTGGTCGGGTTCTGGTCACCTTTCAGCAGCAACGGGGTGAACGGGATCAGCGGGGGTCTCAGGCTGGTGATCAGGTCTCTGTAGGACTTGTGGTTCCTGGACGGGTCCTGCAGGACAAGAAGGTCAAAGGTGAGCATCATGTTTCTGAACCGGGTCGGTTCTGATCGGCACAGACCCAGGATCGGCGTGGGAAACTCACAGCGATGCTTTCGAACTGCTGGAACTGCTTCCTGAACTTTCCTGGAAGACCCTGAGAACATCAGAGGAGATTTCGTTATCAGATCCAGAGGATGTGGTTCTACAGACGGACTGGGTTCAACAGAACCGCCCTGTCTGTTCTGTTAAAAACCCGGCGGGTCGTACCTCCCAGGTGAGCCGCAGTCTGCTGACGTTCGGGTTGTCCAGACCCAGAACCACCGCCAGGAAGGACAGCAGGTCCTGCTGCTGTTTACAGCTGGAACGGAGCAGAACCGGGTCAGTTCACGGCCTGAACACCAGGAGGCAGCAGAGAGCTGCAGAGGACTGGTGACGTTCAGTTCAATTTCCATACTGATTATTGATCATTTACCCCCGATACTGATCACAGTATATGATAAATTCATCTGTGTGTTACGTAGAAAAGAAGAAAAAAATTTACACCAAAAAACTGAGATTTCTGATTTAGAAAAGCTGAAAATTTCCTAGAAAAAAACTCAGAAATATAAAAAAAACCCACACACCACATTTTAAATAGTTTCTTTCTAGAAAAAACGTATTGATTAATTGCTGATTAATTTCAGAAATGTTCGAGAAAAAAGTTTTTCTGAAATAAAATGAACACATTAGTGGTAGTGATGTAAACTCACAGCGCTGCGATCTTGATGAACTTGCGCAGCAGCTGGATCCTCTTCGGCAGCGATTGGCATTGCAGGATCTCTGTGGCGACCCAGTGCTGCACCTCGCTGCAGCGCTGCAGTACCAGCTCCAGGTTGAGGGGGCGCCAGCGCGACTGCTCACCGTGAAATACGTAACAGATGAACTCTACCTGCAGGGGGCGATATGGGTGTTACATTGGATTAAAAAACTGCATATTATTCTTTTCAGCTAATCACGTTTTTTAAGATTTTTTCACCAAATGTTTTTCTGACCTCATGAACGCAGCTGAAAAGTTCCCAGTCGAACACCACCAGCTGATTGGCCACTTCCTCCGCCGACATGTCGTGAAGTTTGCTGTCGCCGGGCGTCCAGTGGATCTCCTCAGGAAGAGGAAGCTGTAGGAAGTGACATCAGAATTAAAGATGAAAAAAACTCCAGACAGAAATCCGTTTTCATTGTTGAACTTTGAACCCAATGATGAGAAGCTTGCTTTAGTTTTCCAAAATATAGGAACTAAAATAGAGGTTCCTCAGGGCGTGACACTTGGCCCCCTTTCTTTCTCCTAATTCAAACCTTCCTGCCCTTTTCTAAAAAGTGTTTTTTTGAATCTCGGAAAATGTCACCATTTCATCTCTTCGTGATGAACTGGTGACATTTATGGGGGTTATCACACCTCTAACCCGTTTGAAACAGCTTAAACAGAATAATTTTACATGTATTTTCTAGAAAAGAGACAGATCTCCTTGTGAGTTAAAGTCTGGACTGGAGTGTCTCTAAACTGAACTGGATACATTTTTGACTGGAATGGATTCCTTATAAACTGGACTGGATTGATTTTTGACTGTATTATTCTACACATGTCCCCATGCTTGTATTCCAGTTAGGAATGCTGTCAGTTTTCCAGTGTCACCAGTTTGATTAATTTATTTGTAGGATTTCTTTATGATTTATTGGTAAACCAAATCTCCAGTCAACTTTGCCCTGAGCCAGAAAATGTTCATAAAAACACTAATTACAACTCATGATGTAATATTCCATGGAAAGAAAACCATCCTAATCTGTTAATGCTTTATCAGGGGTAATAAATACTTCTGGTTAATTATTCATCAAATTAATCAGGTGAGCATAGCGGAGACCTGGCTGTTGCTACTCTACAATCAATCGCCCTTCAATCAATAAGCATCGATCCTCACCAGAGAGTCGAGCTCAGAGGGTTCACAGGCGAACAGGTGGGTGTTGACGCCCAGCGTGGTGAAGACGGCCTCGTCGCTGGGGCGAAACACGGCTTTTTCTGCAAACACAGCCGCCGTCAGTCACCGCGGGAAAAACCCCAAAACATCCACAACCTGAGGGAAGACGGACCTCCAGCCGAGGTGACGGCCACCAGTATGAGGTTCCCAGGCTGGACTGGCTGGTCCTCGCTGTACTGGAGCTTCTCTTTGACCAGCGCCAGAATCTCTCCGACCCGGCAGGACAGGCGGCTCCGGATGGTGACGTAGGAGTGATCCGGGGTGTAGACCCTGCAGAAGACTGCGAGCACGCAGGAAAATCTCACTGAGCTGGGAATGTTCCCCAAAAAGTCACATTCATTTGGAGATTTAAGCAAAAAGGCAGTTCAAAGTCTAATAAACGTTACAGTTTGTAAAATCCCTTCATCAAAATCCTCAAGCAAATCAAATATATTGATCCATTTTCCAGTTATTATGAATCAAAGGGAACTTTAAAGAAAGGAACTCATGATGCTGCCCCTATAAATCAATACTGATGGAGATTCTCGGTCCGTCTGCTGGTTAGTGGTGGAACTGCAGCAGAACTGGTGGGTTGGTCCTTTGTATTGGAGTTAAAAGTCCAAACCTCTGATGTGTGTGTGTGTGTGTGTGTTGTGTTCAGGGTGTGTCGGCCAGTGATTTGTATATCCCAACCGCAGATTGCAGCTGTGTTTGCATTTCAATTGTGAGCGTGTGTGTTTAGAGATCACAGCCTTTATAACTCAGGTGTGTGTGTGTGTGTGTGTGTGTGTGTGTGTAGGTATCTGTGGGCGTCGTACTTTCGTCTGAGCCTCTGAAGGCCTCACGAGGCTGCAGGCAGGCGTCGATACGTCTGAAGTGTCTGAACAGCGGACGGACCTGCTTCTTCCTGCTCTCTTTCTCCTCGTCGGAGCTGAAATACACAAATATCCCGAATGAAAGGGAAAACAGCGAATAAACGTGATGAACGTCCAGCAAAAACAGCAGAATATGTAGTTAAAATATTGAGTCTTCACAGCCTTACGGGCAGTGCAGGATCTCAGACCATCGCTGCAGCTTCAGGACGTCCTCCACCAGCTCAGGATACCGGGTCAGCTCCTGAACCGCACACAAGTACAGCTCCTGCACACAGACACACCCACAATCTGAGCCCAAACGGAGACATCAGCAACCCGCCGGCAGCCGCAGGTTCAGCTGCTTCACTTTCACTTTCAGGCCTTCTTCTCAGAACCAGCGTCTGCAGATTCCCATCAGGCTGCTTTCCAGACCGTTACTGTCATCGCGTGAACGCAGGGCTTGGCCGATAATCATCAGGAAGTCAGGCATGTTGAGGCCTGATGGCGTCTCGCTCTTTGAGACGGATTACGTGAGATTACGTCGTTTTACTGAAAGGCTGGGAAGTTTCCTTTTGTTGGTTCTGGAACAACTAAAGGGTTGTTCCAGAACCAACCTCCATACAGAACCAACCTCCATACAGAACCAACCTCCATACAGAACCAACCTCCATACAGAACCAACCTCCATACAGAACCATTTCAACCACCAGGATGAAGGCTGGTTTGTGAGGTGGTGCGAAATATGAGGAAAAAATATTTCTGTAAATGAAAACGTGAAAACAATACATTTTTATTAACTAAAAAAGTTCTGATTCACCCGTTCAACAATAAACTAAACATGAAGCATTTTAATTAAACAAATAAAATAACCAGATTTCTTTGAAGTTTTTCCTGCTAAATGAAAATCATCCAGTTTTCTTTCATTTATGTAAAAATATTTAATCTATTCTCAGCAATAGAAACAGGATCTGAGTCGTCTTGTTCTATTTTTAATTAAAATCAGATTTGTAGTTTAGAGTGTGAGTCAATGATTAGATAATAAAAATAGAAGGAAATCAGGAAGTGTGGAACATGTCACCACATTTCAGTGAGTAGTTTCTAATTTGTTGAATTTCTTATTTTTCTGTGTAGCCTGGTTGGGCTAAGCGGAGGTGAGTGTGTGCAGCTGAACGTCGTTGACCTTTGGCCTCACACCGGTACCTTGGGGAAGCTGTTGCTGCGCTCTCCCTCCTCCTGCAGCAGCTCTCTGTAGGTGTCCAGGTAGCGGAAGGCCATGTTCAGCACCGCCTGCTTCCTCTCGGCGGCGCTCATGGCCGCCTCGGCCTCGCCGTCCCGCCGCCGCTCGCCGCCGCCCCCCTCGGCCTCCAGGGAGAATCTGGAGGAGCGTTTGGGTTAAGGAGGAACCAGGCTGGATGTGAAACACGTGTTTCTGCGGCGCGTGGAAACCTACATGCATCTTCTGTGTTACAGCAGGAGGAGCATCGTTTGCAGCTCAGAGAGAGACGCCGCCATGATGACCCACATTACACCGCACACACACACACACACACATCCGCATCCAGCTGCCTCACCAACACACACACAAACACTGCTTGTTTCATCCCCTCTGCCTGGCTGATGCTTTTTCTGCTCTCTGTTTGCCCAACACTGAGAATTTCAGCGACATTTCCCATGAAGCTTTGCTCTCCTTCGCCATCAGCTCCTTGTTCTTCTGATTTTTAATCAGGTCTATGACTATTTAATCCTGCACTGAGAACAGATGTGCACATCCTGAGAGGAAAAGTCCCTGAATCTCTGCAATACAACAAAGGGAGATTTATTTCTGTCCGTTTCTTTCACTCTTCTGCTTCCGCCCACATCCCTCTCTTCCTCTCCATCTCCCTGTGGGGGAGGATTCACGTGGCTGGATGTTACAAACTGGCAGTTTTCATATCAGCCATCATGAACTGAACTAATCAGAACACAGCAGAAAAAAACGGCTTCACGTCCCGTAAAGGTTTCCAGTTCAGCCGGTTTCAGAAAACTGTTTGCGGATGATGCAGTCATGTTCAGTTTAGACTTAAACTCAACAGGAGAACGGGAAACATTTTGCGTGACTCGGATTGTAAAGTTGTTTGCAGATGACGCACTTAAATGGTTATGAAATAATTAGCAGGAATGTATGAAACAGCTGGCATCAGATTGTAAAGTTGTTTGCAGATGATGCAGCCGTGTTAAGCTTAGAAACAATTCTCCAACAACTTGCATGAGAATATGAAGTTGTCAACACAATTCAGATTGCAAAGTTGTTTGCAGATGACATGCTTAAGTTTGAAAGGTTATGCAACAATTTGCAGGAGTTTGTGAAACAGTTGGCATGAGATTGTTATGCTTTTTGCAGATGATGCAGTCGTGTAAATCTTAGAAAGTTCTATAAAAACTTGCAGGATAATATGAAATAGTAGTTCAGGTTGTAAAGTTGTTTGTGGATGATGCAGTCGAGTTAATCTTCGATGGTTCTGCATTGATTTGCATGAGAATGTGAAACAGTTGGCATGATTCAGATCGTAAAGTTGTTTGCAGATCGTGTTTGTGCTGAGACCTTTAGATTGAGTCATTTGTCGCCGAAGATGAAACAGTCAGGATTCTAAACAGAACCTTCTACTCTAAGGCGGCGGAATCATCCGGAAACTTGGTTTCTACCTGAAGGTTCTGAGTCACAATTCAGCGGGAATTTAAAAGTGGATCTACCAGTCGGTACCGTCCAATTCCTTCACTCAGTCATTAGTTAAGCATAAAAGCCAAAAGAATGTGATCATGAATGCAAACAGCTGAAATAATCTCCTGCAGGCTGGGCTCACCCTCAGGAGAGGAAACGTTTCGACATTCTGAACATAGCGATGCTCATCAAAGGTGCAACATCACGTCAGTCACACTGTGTTTCTGATTTCCACACCAACAGTGTTTACGTGACACAAGCGGGTGAGACGAGTTACAAACCCTCAGATGCATGAAGACTGACTAACCCTAACCCTAACCCTAACCCTAACCCCAACACTGGCATCTTTTCCTCTCTTTACTTCCCTACTTCATTTATTATTCTATTTATGAGATTGCTTTAAATTATATCGAAGGGAACTTGTGGTGTTCAAATTGTGGTTTTGTTTTTCTGAGCATATGAGAATTTATTTTATTTTATTTTTTTAAATGAACTTAATGGATCAATTGTGAAAGCATAATGTTTCCTGGTATGCATCTTTTCTTCATAACAAGGAGCTCCGAGTTTTCACAGGAAAACTTGGAAAAAAGATTTGGGACACAGTTCGTCTCCAAGAACCAAGATGTTAAAGAGTTAAGACTCGTTCACACCAGCCATGTTTGGTCCACTTTAATCCGGCTCCAGACCATTTGCCTGGAAAGTCTGGTTCCTATGGGGAGGCGAGGATGCGTAACCGAACTCTGACTGAACGAACGAACTCTGGCCCGCCTATAAACCTCAGTCTGGATTCGGTTGAAGTGAACTCTGGTGCGGTTCAGATGCATATCTGAACGCCAAGCGTGCCAAAAGCAGGAAGTGAACTATATCGCAAGGCATGCTAGCAGGCTAATGCTAGCAGGAGAAATGACTCGTCTGAAGCTACTCTATTTTTGTTTACATTTAGCGAAGAAGGATGTTGCATTCAGTGTCTTCTTCAGAGGCTTTCATGTTGTTTCCTTCAGTGGTTATATGTGCAACGCCCCCACAGGTGAGGAGGGAAACTGTTTTTCAAAAGGTTTGTTTGGTTTGACTCAGAGAACCACAACACCTGGAAATGCAACAAATGTTGCAGGTTTGGTTCCCAGTCTGACCGATCCTACCAGACTATCATTTATGAAACGTTCTTAAAAAACGGTTCCTGGATCAGGCTGCGAGTCGCTGTTGTGGAAGTGTTTTTCTCCTGAACCTGAACGTGGTGAAATGTTCCTTTTTCTGTCCTCTGGAACACAAACAAACAGAAAGAAGGTGGGGCAAAAAAAAAAAAAAAAGAAACTCGGTAACAAACATGAGGTAGAGTCAGCAGGCTGCAGGCGAAAAGGAGGGAAAAATGCGACTCGAAGCTACACAACGGGAACAAAGCCGCCGTTAATACCCTGGAATCAAACCTGCAGAGCTCGTCCCTCATTCCGATCGCATTAAGCACACCGGTGCATGCACGTCGCATCGCAGCGCCGTGAGCGCATTCAGTCAGGCCCAGGACAAGGATACTGCTGCAGCAGGACTTGCTGGAGCCTGTCGGCCGTCAGGAAGATGGGATGTGTCAACATGAAGTCATCCAGCAGGGTTTCTGCACACAGACACACAGAGAGGTTAGATGTTACATGCTGCACCTGAACGCAGCACAGACATTTCAAACTGGAGCCAGAGGACTCCACCTCTGATCTGCAGCATGTTCATTACAGCGGATGAGCCAGGAGGAGGCTGAGGGATGCCTCCACATCCTGCAGCCTCACAGCTTCTGGTTCTCTACATGCAGAGAGAGTCCTGACAGGACAGCAGCGTCTCTGCTGGAGGAGGAGGATGCAGAGACGAGGCCGCCTCTGATTATACGTTAGGCCATGACACGCAGCGAGCCGAGAGGCGGCGGCGAGGAGCTGCTGCAGCCGACGGCTGTAATTTAAGATGCTGAAGCAGCACGACGCGCCTCAAACCTGTGGTCACATTTACTAAAATACACTGCTGCGCTGCGTGTGTGTGTGTGTGTGTGTGTGTGTGTGTGAGAGCCATGCTGCAGTGGGTGTGTCCAGTCCAAGCCCGCCTCTCTGCAGGCGGTTACCATGGAGACAACACGTCGCTGACAGCAAGAGGATGGAGAGAGAAATGTGCGAGAAGAAGAAGAAACTGATAAAAAAAAAGGAGAGAAATCAGCGTGAGCTGCAGGGAACCGGATCAGAACCCATCAGTTAAACCATTTAAAACTAAAGATGGATTTAAAAAATACACCTTCAAATCAGAGCTGCAACTATTGATTCTTCTGATGACTAATCAATAAAAAAACATGTCATATTATGCAAATTTTTCACTTAATCTCTTAAAAGATGCAAATGAACAAATTTTACTGCTTTCTTAACAAACATTTTCTTACCTAAAATATAGAAAATGACTCATCTACAGCCAAAAAAACATTTTTATGAAGACATAAAAACTCAACATTTATTTCAATAATCGATTAATCATGATTAATTGTTTCAATTTTTTGTGTCTCTTTTTAAAAGTTATTTTGTAGCAGTGGAGTCTTTGAGCTCTTCAAACTCTTCCCAGATTGATGAGAAGCAACGATTGCCTCTCTAAAGTCATTATTCAGTTACTAAATTAGTTAACTTTATTTCAATAATCAATTAATCACGATTAATCCAATTAATTGTTTCAGCCCTACTTAAAATATTTAACTTTTTTCTCCTGGAAAAGATGCACAGAAATGCAGAGATCATCTGACCAGTGCCAAATAATCCAAAAATCAGATCCAAACCCATTTGGACACCAACTGGACTCCATATTGGTACCAAACCCGTTTAAATTTCTACCTCAAAACCCAAAATGATTTCAACAAAACCAACAAAACAGTTAATTCAGAACAGGAAGTCCCACATGTCGTCAAATCTGGACCCATAGATCCGTCTGGGTCCACAGAGATCAGCAGTGATCCAACTGGGTCCAGTTTCCCTGCTGGGCTCTGCAGGACATTTGACTGATTCCCGTCCCTACAGGCTGAAATTTCACCAGAGATGGGAATGTTTTATAAGTGGCTTTAGAGCCGGAGACGAAGCGAACGGATAAAGTTCTGCTTGGCTGGCAGAGAGAAAGGTCCATTCACAATGTGAAGCCGAGCAGAAACTAAAATCTGGGATCAGAGTGGAGGACGACACAGCGGCGCTGCGTCACACCTACTCAGAAAAACAGAAATATCCACTAGAACATCTAAAAAACTAAAAAACTAGATATAACATAAAAAAGAAACAGGTTCATTGGACACAGTGAAATATTTCAAGCTTTTATTATGACTTACAGGAAACGATTAATCAAATCAAACATGATTAATCGAAAACTGAAATAGCTGTCAGTTAATTTAGTTGATGATTATTGGATAAGATAATCATTAATTGGGATATAAAAACTCTAAAAATGCCATTTATTTGAAAAACAACATATTATTGAGCATATATTATTATTTTATTGAGGATATGTTATTGCTCATATGGCTAAGCAATAATTAAGCTAAACCTGTATAATATATACACAGATTTTTATTTGTAAATATGTTTCAGCCAAAACTCCTCAGTTTTAGTTTCACCTGGTTCAGATTTATTTTTACTTCTGCTCAGACAAACTGAGCTTTGGATCATCTGAACGTCTAAAACATCGCATTTGTAGCGTTTATTCTGAAAAGAAGAATAAGACTGTTTTTGGAGAGCTTGCCGTTTCTTTAGACGTTTCTTTAGGAGCCGGACAGCAGATGGACACACAGACGTAAAAAGGTTTTAAAGTCGCTCTGACCTCAGGGTCTCATTCTGAACACATGACTGAATCCAGGCTCCACTTAACCGCTTTTCTCCACCAGGAGAATAAAATACATTGAAAATAACATGTTAGCTTTTAAATACCAGATCCAGGTTACAATTTTAATCAACTTGCTGGAAATTAAAAAATGGCTTTTATTTTATGAGAATTTTTGTCCAAATATGAGAAAATATTAGCAGAATAAAGACTCAATACATTAAAATTAGGAGAATAAATGTTTTTATCAGGATCTGACGATCAGCTCAGTTCATCAGCTGTTTGATCGATTGTTTCAAGATGTTTTCTTTTTTAATATCATCTCTAAAACTTATACCAAAGTACAATTTTTCTGTTATTTCCCATGTTGTAGTTCTCATAAAAATACAACTTAATTCTTCTAAGATAAAAACCTTAAACCCATTTTATTGAGATTTAACCTAAATTCTGCTGCAAACGCGTTTTCCCAACAAGATGGCGGCCTTGGAGCCACTCAAGGAAAAATCTGTATTTGATAAAACTTAAATCTTCACAAAGCAAAAGCTCGATTAATCGATCAAATCCAAACCGCCCAGCCCGACCAGGAAGAGGGTCTGGGTTGATTCGACCCGTTAATTCATCCTGGATGAATTTTGCTCGGGATGAGGAGAAGTTTCCCAGCTGAAGCTTTAATTTCCTCCCACCTCCTCGGCTCGGTTTCTCTTTCCGCCTCCTCCTCCCCTCCCAGCGTCTCGCAGAGAGCCGGTTGCTATGTGAACAGGTGCTAAAAGAGCCTCTTGTGTTTCTGCACGTCCAAATGGAGCGCAAGCGGGACAAACGTGCAGCTCGGAGGGGTCGACGAAGGCGATGAAGAGGAGGAGGAGGAGGAGGAGTGAAGGTAAACGCATCCAGAGAGGTAAACGAGTGGGATCGTTTCTCTGAAGAAAACCTTCCTCCCACACGCATCCACTCGTTTTTGCTCCAGAGCCACCCGGCCGTCATTCTGCCACCGACTGGTGCAGAAACACAGAATCTTCCAAGCATTTCGGGTTCAGTTTCCACTGCAAATATCTTGAAATACGACAAAACTAACAATTAACTTCAAAGCGAGCAGAATCCCAGAGACCAAAACCGGAAACAGATAAACGGCTGCAGGACAGAGACGAGTCGGCTGAAACACCAAACCAAAAACTTTTCCTTCCACATTAAATCCACTAAAAGATTTTATGAGGCAGGAGCTGCGTTCCCATTACAAATGGGAGCAAAACAAATGCAATAAAGGAGTAAATTGCTGCCAAAAAGTTTGAGATTCATCTCAGAGGTTTTGTAGAAAAAAAAAACATTTTCAGTTTCAAAATTAGAAAATTTTGGAGACAAATCTTGAGGTTAATCTCAAAAGTTTTTTGTGGGAAAAATTGGAAATTTTTGAATTTCAATGGGCAAGATTTGAGTTTTAAAAGTCAAAAGTTTTTTCAAGAAAATTTCTAAGAGTAATTTTAAAATTTCTGATATTTCTCTTGCTAATTTTTGACCGAGACATAGAAGCTTGTTTTAAGATTATTTCTCTTAAAACAAAACATTTTTCTCATAAGTGACATAATCTGCTAGTGAAACTAGTATTTATTTATTTATTTCAGAAAAAGTAGCTCTAATATTTTGCTGAAAAGTTACTGGTAAGTCAGTTTTCTCATGAAATATGATATTTGCACTGGAAAGTATAAAAATACTTGGTAATATTTGGTTTTTCTGCTGTGTTCAAAGGAAGTGTGTGACAAACACACACTTCTCGTTTTATGACTGAGGCCTTAAAACTAGAATAAAATCAAACAGTTCTGGATTAAAATAGGGATGAAATCTGGGTTAAAGCAGGATAATTCAGGAATAAAAAGCTTGTTGGTCCTGTGGACGGACGGTTTGGGTCGGGTTCTGACGTGTCGCTGTCTGCTGAGCACAAAAGTTTCAATCTGTTGTTTCTTTTTCTTCTCCAGGACAACGACTGAAACGTCTAATTAGAGCCTCAGAAAGAGGCTTAATTAGAGTTTCTGAAGGCCAAAAACACACACACACGCACACAAGAACACACACACACACACACTCACATGCATGCACTGAGCTGTTTGTGTCTCTGTAAAGGATCTGAGTTTTCACCCTCTTATGTAACATCTTTCTGCTTTTGCTTTCATTCACTGTGATTCTGCAGGTATTTTCCAGGTGAGCTACTTGTTCCCACCCTAAACTGTGTTCTGTATGTCAGAGTCAACCAGGAAGTGATGTCACCAGGTGAGACCATCGCACCTGCAGAAGGATTTATTCTGGTTCTCTCGCTAAAAAAGATCAAACTGTTGCAGGACGGTCGAGGCTCAGGGAGCCAATCAGATCGCAGAAAGGGCGGGTCTTTTTAACGCACACACACACACACACACACGCACGCACACACACACACACACACACACACACACACACACACAAACACACGCACGCACACACACACATCTACACACACACACACGCACACACACACATCTACACACACACACACACGCACGCACACACACACATCTACACACACACACGCACGCACACACACATCTACACACACACACACACACGCACGCACACACACACACACGCACGCACACACACACACACACACACACACACACATCTACACACACACACACTTGTGTGAGGCAAAGCAGAACCTTGAACCTGGATTATCAAAACAAACGTAAAAACTCTCTGTCCCTCCAGAAACAAGCGGCCAGCTCTGATTGGCTGACGGTTCAAACATCACACCTGCTGGCCCCGCCTCCAGCAGGTAAAACCTGCCAGGTGAGAGAAGAGCCTGCTCCTCAAACCGCCCAAATGTCGGCCAAATCAGAGATCCATCAGAGCCGAGCAGAACCCCAGAACCTTCTGGACACTAATATATATTTACATTGATTTTGTTTTTTTATTAAATATTTCCATAAATCATTCAAATTCTTCTTCAAATATAACAATATTAACAATACTTAATGAAATAATTGTCTATTTGCTTAATTTTTGTACATTTTTATGTTTTTAAATGTTTTTTTAATTTGATTCTGACTTCGACTCTGCAGCAGCGTTGAGTCTCTGCGTCTCTTCCTGTTCCGGACCGGATCGCCGGATCGACTGATCACCGGATCACCGGATTGTCGGATCGGCTGATCACCGGATCGCCGGATCGGCTGATCGCCGGATCGTGGCGCTCGCCGTCGGATCAGAACTCTTCAACGTTCTGCAGCTTTCAGAGACAAACTGTGAAGCTCTGATGAAACCGGTGAACAGAACCCGTTGCATAAGAACCAGAAGTCAAACGAGCGGGCGGATCATAAAGAGTCCTTTGTGAGAGTTTGTTGAGGCGACAAGAAGCTTCCTAATTATTAATGAGACTGAAATCACCTGCTGGTGGCGAGAAAACATGGAGCCAAACACAAACTGCACAATAACGACAGCCGGAGTCTTTAAGTCAAGGAAATTATTTAGGTTAGAAAATAAATTACTAAGACATAACAAACCTTCACAACAATATTTAACAAATGTGACAAAACAAGCATTCAGAGCAAAATTTAAAGCTAAATAAATAGGTTTATGATTAGAAGCTTTGAAATTGTTTTACATATTTATATTTTACTTTAAATTTAATGTTTACCTTATTTTATTTTTTTTTTAAATTAAATTATTTCAAGAACATAGATCTATGTGAAACATCTGTTCAGTCAAACAAAATGGAGGATTTTGGAAATATTATTTATCCAATTATATATTTAAATGTATTTTAATTTGCTAAAATTTGAGGAATTTTGTGGCATTTGAATATTTTTCCTTTTTAATATTTGCTACTTTTGTGTTTGTGTAAAAAATAAAGAAACACTGAGAGAGAGTCAGAGACTGGAGCCAGAAAGAAAGAGGAGCAGGAAGAGGAGGAGCAGGAGGAGCAGGAGGAGGAGGAAGAGGAAGAAGAGGAGGAAGAGGAGTAGCCAGTTGTATCAACCAGGCTGAACAGATTCTCATTATGTAACCTATGAAGCTTCCAGCTGAGGCTGCAGGAAAATCCTTCTGCAAGCCTCCAACAGAACCAGAACCAGAACCTGCCTCACTCCCTCCATCCATCCATCCATCCATCCATCCATCCATCCATCCATCCATCCATCCATCCATCCATCCATCCATCCATCCATCCATCCATCCATCCATCCATCCATCCATCCATCCATCCATCCATCCATCCATCCATCCTCAGGTCTTACCTGAACAGTGTCGGAACCGTTTTCCCGCCACCCCGTCCAGAACTGCTAACGTCAGGTTATCTGGAGTGTCGGGATGAAGAGGCGTCCCTCCTCCTCCTCCTGGACCGGATCCAGAACCTCCTCCTCCTCCGCTGCTCTCTGTGATCAGGCTCGCCTCGGAGCTCTGCTCGTCGCTGGACAGAGACGGACTGCGGACGTCTCCTCCTCCAGAACCGGAACCCGATCCAGATCCGGATCCAGAACCAGAACCGGAGCAGGAGCCGTTGGCGCTGCACGGAACTGAGGCCAGCCCGGTTCCTGCAGCGGAGGGCCAGGACGGGGGGTCCTCGCTGTCAGGGCTGCAGGGGTCAAAGGTCAATATTTAGACTTAATCCATTTGAAGAAAGGAGGAGCAAGTTTGGTCCGATCTCTGACAGGATGTGACATCACCACTCATCATTTCCCCTCCCTCTGTGTCGTGTCATAGTAGGTGCCATGCTACAGGGGGCGCCATGCTACAGGGGGCGCCATGCTACAGTGGGTGCCATGCTACAGGGGGCGCCATGCTACAGTGGGCGCCATGCTACAGGGGGCGCCATGCTACAGTGGGTGCCATGCTACAGGGGGCGCCATGCTACAGTGGGTGCCATGCTACAGTGGGCGCCATGCTACAGTGGGCGCCATGCTACAGGGGGCGCCATGCTACAGTGGGTGCCATGCTACAGGGGGCGCCATGCTACAGTGGGTGCCATGCTACAGGGGGCGCCATGCTACAGTGGGTGCCATGCTACAGGGGGCGCCATGCTACAGGGGGCCATGCTACAGGGGGCCATGCTACAGTGGGCGCCATGCTACAGGGGGCCATGCTACAGGGGGCGCCATGCTACAGTGGGCACCATGCTACAGTGGGCACCATGCTACAGGGGGCGCCATGCTACAAGGGGCGCCATGCTACAGTGGGCACCATGCTACAGGGGGCGCCATGCTACAGTGGGCACCATGCTACAGTGGGCACCATGCTACAGGGGGCGCCATGCTACAGTGGGTGCCATGCTACAGGGGGCCATGCTACAGGGGGCCATGCTACAGGGGGCCATGCTACAGTGGGCGCCATGCTACAGTGGGCGCCATGCTACAGTGGGCGCCATGCTGTATGGGGTGCCATGCTATGGATGGCGCCAAAAAGAGGCCTTTTCTGTATTAAACAGCTGTTTGTCCTTTGAAAACCTGAATTCATCATAATGGTTTCTAGATATTTGGTAACTTTTTGTTCTGTAATTTGACTATTTCTGTTTTCTACGGAGGGAAATCTCTGAGCGGCTGTTTGACATCCCACTTAAGCATCGGCCTCTGGGGCCTGTTCATTTCCTGCTTTCAATCACGGCTCTGTAGGGAAGAAAGCCGAACATTAAATGAGTCCAGAGCCGCTGTGAAAGATGAAGAACCACTGAGCTACGGTGGCTGAGAAGGATCAAACCTCTGGAACAGAAACTCAAACTGAACTGCAATAAGACAGATGCAGAAAACTTTCAACATAAATTACGTCACTATAATAATAATAATAATAATAATAATAATAATAATAATAATAATAATAATAATAGCTATTATTATTATTATTATTATTATTATTATTAAAAAGCAAATAATTCATATAAGAACTTATTTTTCTTTACAAATATTTTTTTTTTTCACACTGAAATTAAACCCAGTTAAAACTTCTGGCCACTTCATTAGGAACACCATTTCAATTCAAACACAAAAAGCTGAACAGCCAATCAGATGGCAGCAAACCAATGCAGATATTCATCCAGATGTGGAATAAAAGACGAGCTGAAAATCAAACTGAGCATCAGAACAAAGCAGAACAGAACCAGAGTTCTGGTGCTGACCAGACCCATCCAATTAGGACCACAGTGGAACCATCTTTTGATGATAAACTGGGTCAGAACAAACATTAACCAGGACAAGGAGGTTCTGGTTCATGCTGCAATGGACCAGAACCTCCATACAGAACTGAATGATCCGATCCAGAGCCTGCATGGTGTACCTAACAAAGTGGTCAGTGACTGAAGATGTGAAGATATACATATTTTTTCTGATTTGGAACCAAACCTGTTATTTTATTCAGACTGTAGAAAAACAGTCTTCAGTCAGAGGTTCCTTCAAAGTCGCTGCAACATCGACTGCTACAGGAGCTTTCTGACGAATTTGAATTTATAGGAATCACAACATTTCATTTCCCTTTGGGATCAATAACTGGGATTATAGTTTGACTTTTGCATCTAAATGACATCAAACTTAAACCTTTACTTTGGGTCCGCCTCATTTATTTATTTCTAATGAATTTAAGATGCAGAACCGAACTCACCTGAACACCTCCCGCGCGTGGCCGCTTTCAGGTGAGGTCTCCCTGAAGAACGGGACGACCCGGGACAGGCTGGCCCTCCTGCGGGACGCCCCGGTGCCACCGCTGGCCTTGTCCCCCACCCCGCCGAAACCCCCGGCCCGCGTCAGCGCGGTGGTCTGCTTCTTCAGGAACTTCTCCAGCGGTTTCATCCCCGCCGGCATGGTTCTTCTCTGGACCGGGGACCTGGGGGGCTGAGACCTGGGGTCCAGAGACCTGGGTGGGTTGCTGAGACTCGGGATTCGGTAGCTGCTGCTGGGGCAGCGGCGCCTACATCATTCGGCCCCTGCAGGTCGGGTCAGGAGCGCAGGTGCGTGCAGGTAAGATTGGACCCTCCTGGGTTCTGCAGGCTGCTGTGGACCACCAGTCCGGGTCTAACCCATGGATGATCCACTCGGTCCCCGGAGCTCCGCGCACCGACAGCCGCTCCTCCCCCAGCTGCTCTCCGGCTTCAGTCGCCGCCTCTACAGAACCGCTGCGGTTCCGAGGCGAGTAAAAAATAAATACCGCTAATAATAAAAAGCCAAAAATCCGCGCTGCGCCTCTGCGGCTCCGGGCTCAGATCCGGACCCGAATCTCTGCGGATCGCTGGTTCCTCCTCGCTCACCTGGCCCGGTGCGTTTGGGTGCGGTGGGTTTTCCGAGCCTCGCCTGCGGTTCTCCGGTTCTGGAGGCTCTCCGAAGCGATCCAGTTGGGTTCTGGGTTCCTCCAAACCGATCTCCGGTCCCGGTCCTCCTGGTGAATTTCTGGATGAGCAGTGATGAAGAGCACTCGCGCGCGCTCCCCCGCCCGCCCCTCTGCGCGCGCGACAGACTGGCGATCTGCTGCAGTTGCGCGTTCCCGACTCTCGCACTGCACGGCGGCGCGCAAGCACGGTGTAAAATTAATGGAAATGGAAATATCCCTGACGACAGAGCGGAAAGACCGCGAGATTTCAGCGTGAGAGAGCGCAGGTTCTTTTATTTAACACTAAACTGCTGAACGGAAGTTTTCTGTAAGATCAGCTGGGGATTCTGGGGAAACCCAGGATTGATCTAGAACCGGACACCTTCCTCCTCCTCCTCCTCCTCCTCCTCCTCCTCCTCCTCCTCCTCCTCCTCCTCCTCCTCCTCTCCTCCTCCTCCTCCTCCTCCTCCTCCTCCTCCTCCTCCTCCTCCTCCTCCTCCTCCTCCTCCTCCTCCTCCTCCTCTTCATAATGAAAAGAAGAGGCAACTTCAGATTATCTTTCAGATCTTCTGTAGGTATAAGGCTCAGGTAATATGAATCATCTGTGGAATACCACAGGGAGCTAAACTAGGTCCATGTTATCGTCTTTCATTCAGCCTGACCTGTGCAGGTCAGGCTTCATTTTCTGAACTTATGTGGATCTCTGGATCTTTGTGTTTCTTTTCAGTGATTTAGCTCCATTTCTAAGTGATCTCTTCCACTCAGAGTGAAAGATTTCAAGCAATGTCTAGATAATACTGTCTTCCAGAGGGTAAAAACACAAATATTCAGGTGTTTTTTGTTGGAAATCTAGAATGTAAAAAAAAACAACATTTAAAGAAATGCAGCCTTATTGTCATGTTAAACAAATGTAAATAACTAAAATTTGACAAACTTACTTTGATTACGTTACAAATCATTTAAAGGGTTTGTAAGTTGGAGCTTTCTGTTTTTTCAGTGCAGGTTGTTCTGGTCTTCTATTGTTGGTTCTGATGTTTTATCTTCACCCACGAATCCTCTGTGAGGTTCAAGTAAGAGCAGTTTGCTGGCGTTACTGTAGTGATTGAAGAAGGTTTTGGTACCGTTAGCAGTTTGGGTCGGTACTGAGTCCGGCTGGAAAAATGACATCAGCATCTCTATAAAGCTAAAATGTCCAGGTGGATGTTTCTGACGTCGTCTGAGGTTCTGACGGCTTATGAGTTTCATACAGTAGAAACTAGAGGCCTGTGACTTAAGACTTTAAACAGCTGCATTGCTTTACTCATTTATTATCTCCCTTCCAATAAAACTCAGTGCAGAACAAACTGGAACATAATAATGCAAAAAAAAAAAAAAAAAAAACAATTAGACATAAAGACAAAAAGTGACAAGAAAAGAAAAGAAAGAAAAACCAAGAAGCTATAAATAAATAAGATGAACAAATACAAGAAATCTGATTGATTTTATTGATCCTATGATTGTAATCACGTCATAGATTCAAACCAGGAAGTGAAGAGAGGCTCCTTGCCTCTCATTGGCTGGATATCTGCAACTCTGCAGTTTCTGGCCAATCAGAGCAGACCTCCTCACCAGCCTCCTCTGTGGTGCATCAGTTAACAAGCCAATTACTCAGAAAGCTCTCCGACATCCTGATGTCCATCACAGGCGGATGGCGTTGCCATGGCTACAGCTGCAGGAGGCGGGAGGAGGGTGGAACAGCTGAGGCTCCTTTTGTGTTTGAGCCGCAGATGAATATTCACGAGGCCGTCCGGCTGCTGATTGGTCGCCGGAGTTCATATAAGAGCCCCGCCTTCTGCAGCTCATGAATATTCATGGTCACATAAATAAAACCAGCAGGTGTGAAGCTTCAGGGATGAAGAACAAACCCATAAATCAAATCAAATCTCCGGATTCCTGCTAGTAACTTGATTATTTGACTCATAGTGGCGTCTCTCTGAAACGCAGAGACGCCACTAAAAGCTGCGTTTTAAGACCTGGAAGCTTCCCAGCAGCAGCATTTCATCCCGGAAAGTCGGAATGCGTTCTGGAAACGGGTTCTGGTTTGGACAGCACAGGGAAGCAGATTGGTCCATGGTTCTGTTTAAAAGGGGGGATTTTCTGTAAAATTTTGCTTTATATTATATTAATGGCTGCACTTGATTAAAATTAATCTGCAATTAATTGTATTGTAATCAAAAAATACATAAACAGAAGTATACATTTTTGCTGCAAAATTCTTGACCAAACAGATGTGACACATTTTTTTAATGTGGATTTTAAAAAAATACACTTACTGTGGAAGCTGGCGTTTGCGCTAGCTGCTACATGTTCTGTTAGTTTAGGCTTGAACAGCTTCGCTGACAGGCTAACCCTTTTTAGCACAACTTTTCAGCGTCAAATCGGATTTTAAAGAAATAAAAATTAAAGCCCTAGTGGACAAAGAGAAGAGGCTTGTATGAAACATCATAATTAACAGAAATGAATTCTTCCAACCATCAATCTGTGTAATTAATCTTGTTTCATGCAGTGATAAGGTTCCTTTTCAGTGATATTCTCATTTATTGGATGGATCTGTACCGAACATCAGTCTACAGATATATGAAATATATTCTCATGAGAATTAAACTGATTTAGTTCATAATAATAATAATAATGTTTATAATCTGCCATTTTCTACAGGAAAAACTATTTTTTTGTACTTCAAAGTCCTCAGCAGAAATTCAACTGAAAATGTGATGCCCTTCTGGTGACCCAGGCCAAAGCAATCAGCCCTACATCTAATCAAGGGGCTTTTAGCCAATCAAATTAGTTGGGCTGGGTCAGAGGTCAATGTGCCTGCAGACAGAGGTGGTGCATTCGCTGTCATCGGGTCAAACGTTTCTCCCAGTTTGACTGGATGAAACGATAACGACTCAAATGGGCGTCAAGTAGTACAGGAGTGGAATAACTTCTGTTTAGGAGAAAAAGCTCCTCTCTTTATAATTAAGAGACGAACCGCTGGTGTCACATGACTGAAGGAACCCAATTTGATTGGCTAAAAGCCGAGCGAATATTTATAGTCGATAGCGTCGGCTTGGGTCACCAGAAGGTCACCGTGCATGGAGACAAAATTTTTGCTGAAAAATTTGGAGTAAAACAATTTACATCAATAACTGCGCGATAAATTTCTTCCTTTTCAACGTCTTATTGCAATAATTAAACTTTTACTCCAGCCCAGTTTAGTCCATTTCAATCCCAGTTAGTTTGTCTACAAACTCTGATCCGCCTACAAACCCAGATCTGTTCATTTGAAGTGAACTTTAGTTTGGTTCCAATTCATATGTGAACACCAACCAGTCTGGGAAACGCTCTACAAGCAGGAAGTGGACTACAGCACAGGGAATTCTGGGTAAACACAACCAAAACAAACATGAGTATAGCACTAGCAGAAGAAATGGCTAATTTTTTATATACCAAAGACAAAGTTAAAAATGTTAATGCAATACTTTTACTAGACTACATTTTAGTCTGTGTATTTGTACATTCTTGTTTACATTTTGAGAAGGAAGTTGCGCTCATCTCTTGATGTTTTCATGTTGTTTCCCTTAGTCGTTCTTGGTGCAGCGCCCCCAAAGGCGAGGAGAGGAACTGTTTTTTTCTTTTAAGGGTTTGGTTTGTTTGACACAATGCAGTGAGAAAGTGAAATGCAGCAGCTGAAAATGTAAAACACGTTGCAATTTGATTCTATCAAAGAGTTGATTTCGCTCTGAATTTCACAAGAGCTTTTAGAGAGAAATATAAAAAGATTCATTCAGAAACCAGTAATCATAAAAGCAACATCTGTTAGTCTGTAGTTGGAGATATTATCCTGAATAAGATTACCTTACCATAAGATTTGGGTGAAAGGTCAATATTTTAAGCTTCGTTTCTTTAATAAACATCTTTAATAAAAAAAAAAAAAAGTTCTGCTTTTGTTTGTCTGGGTGGGTCAGGGACGGCTCAGAGACGTTCAGGACAGAATCAGAAACTTTAATCTGACAACAAACCAAAGACGTTCCAGAGAACTGAGCAGAAAGATGAGCAAGAAAAAAAAAAAAAAAAAAAAGACGTTTTTTTTTCTTTCAGGAAACCGTAAAATTCAGTTAATAATGGGTCCGTCTGGGGTTCTGCTACGCTCTGGTCCAAACATGAAACCAAAAATCAGAGAAGATGGTCGCCTACTGCAAATAATAATAATAAAAATAAGTAAAACAGTATGAAAATGAAAGGTTTAATAAAAGGAAGACATAAACTATTTCTCTCTCTAATAACTCCACCGTTAATCTTCAGGTCCCTGCCGACGACTCAGCAATAAGTTCACGGATCTATTTCATCTCTTCCAGATTTTATTTACAGTTAGCTTCTATTTACAGCAACACTAAGCAACACCAGGTGGCGCCAACAGAGGCAGGTCTCAAGATCTGCGCTTTTAGGTTTTTAACGTCGCCATTTACCGGGAAGGATTTATTACGTCATAAAATATCCGCATCTAAAATATGTGACCCGATCCGGTTCTGGCTGTCGGATCATGTAGAGCTATAACCGTTGGAGTAGATTCAGACAAACCGGACAAGAAGTCGTTAGCGGGTCCGCTCCATCCGTCAGAGTGACTGAAAAGGGAATAAAGGAAAGTTCTGATCCAGAGGAGGCCGTCTCGTCCTGCCCCCCGATCCCTCACGGTGTCGTCTGATTGGGCCTCACTGCCCCTCCCACCCTGCTCCTGCACACACAGACCAATCACCAGTCAGATCACCTGGAGCAGGAAGTAAACATGACGCAACACGAGGAGGAAACATGACTTCAAAACAAAATCTGATTTTTTTCATTCCAGATCAGATTTGAATATGTTTTTTACTCACTTTCTTTACTAAAAAAATTTGAGTTGTACGGCAAGCATTAGGGATTTTTTTGTTTAACAAAATATTACTACAAAACATCTTAAAATTACGAGAGAAAAATACTTTATTCTCCAAATATTACAACTTTATTCTTGTAAAATTATTTTGTAAACTTGTCACTGTTATATTTCCAAGTAGAATTGACCTGAATTCAAAGTCCAAATAAACTTAATTTGTGGCAAAGGATTTATCTGCAGCTAAAAATCCTTTCAATGTAAAAAGCTCAAGTTTTTCTGCTTGACTTATCAATATAGAGTATTGATC